CAATTGTTTTTCTATTTTCTATTTCATTTAATTCTGCTCTAATTTTTGTTATTTGCTTTCTTCTGGTGCCTGAGGGCTTCTTTTGCTGCTCTCTTTCTGTTTGTTCCAGTGGTAGGGTTAATGTTTTGAATTTGGTCCTTACTTCTTTTTGGAGGTGTGCATTTATTGCTATAAATTGACCTATGAGCACTGCTTTTGCTTTGTCCCAAAGGTTCCATTAGGATGTGTTTTCATTTTCATATAATTTTGCAAATTTCATATATTCCATCCTTAATTTCTTCTATAACCCAGTAGTTTTTGAGCAAGGTGTTGTTCAGTTTCCATGTGTTTGATTTTTTCCCTGCTTTTTCTGTTTATGATTTCCACTTTTATGACTTTATGGTCAGAAAAGACGCTTTGTAGTATTTTTGTGTTTTGGATTCCGTTAAGGCTTGCTTTATGGCCTAATATGTGGTCTATTCTGGAGAATGTTCCATGTGCATTGGAAAAGAAAATATACCTGGCTGCAGTTGGGTGGAGTATTTTGTATATGTCTATGGGATCAAGTTGGTTGATTGTGGTATTTAGATTTTCCGTGTCTTTATTAAGCTTCTTTCTGGCTGTTCTGTCCTTCACCGTAAGTGATGCACTGAAGTCTCCTACTATTATTGTGGAACTTCCTCTCTTTTCAATGCTGTTATAGTTTGTTTTATGTATTTTGGAGCCCTGTCATTAGGTGTGTAAATGTTTATTATGGTTATGGCGTCCGGGTGTATTGACCCTTTAATCATTATATAGTGTCCTTCCTTATCTTTTGTGGTAGATTTTATTTTAAAGTCGATTTTGTCAGAGATTAATATTGCCACTCTTGCTCTTTTTTGAGTGTTGTTTGCTTGATATATTTTTTTCCATCCTTTGAGTTTTAGTTTGTTTGTGTCTTTAAGTCTAATGTGTGTCTCTTGTAGGCAGCTTGTAGACTGATCTTGTTTTTTTTATCCAATCTGTCACTCCCTGTCTCTTTATTGGTGCATTTAGTCCATTTGCATTCAGCATAATTATTGATAGGTATGGGTTTAATGCTGCCATTTTGATGTCTTTTTTTGTGTGTTCTTAACAGTTTCTTTGTTCCTTTTTTGAGTCATTTTTCTTTATGTATTTTCTTTTCATCTTTTTCATTGTTGATTTTCTATTTTTTGAGTCTTCTTTTTTATGTTTTTCTTGTTTTTTATTTTGATGAGTAGCAGTGATAGTTTCCTTTCTGGTTACCTTAATATTTACCCCTCTTTTTCTAAGTTTAAACCAATCTTTTATTTCTTTGTATCACCTTGACATCCTCTCCATATAAAAGATCTATGACTACATTTTTTAGTCCCTCTTTTTTGTTTTAATGTTGTCATCTTTTACATATTGACATCTCTGTTTCCCTATTTTCAGCATTTTAGCTTTCATTTATTTTTGTGACTTTCCTCTGTGGGTTTATATCTAGTTGCTCTGTCCTATCGTCTAGTCCTGGGTTGTTATCTGATGTTATTGGTTTTATAACCAGAGGACCCCTTTTAGTATTTCTTGTAATTTTGGTTTGGTTTCTGCAAATTCCCTAAACTTCTGTTTATCTGGAAGTGTCCTAATTTCACCATCATATTTGAAAGACAGTTTTGCTAAATATATAATTTTTGGCTGGCAATTTTTTTCCTTCAAGGCTGTATATATGTCATCCCATTGCCTTCTTGCCTGCATGGTTTTTGCTGAGTAGTCCGAGCTTAGTCTTATTGACACTCCTTTGTAAATGACTTTTCATTTATTCCTAACCGCTCTTAAAATTCTCTCTTTATCTTTGGTTTTGGAAAGTTTGACTATAATATGCCTTGGTGACTTTCTTTTGGGATCTACCTTGTGTGGGGTTTGATGAGCATCTTAGATAGATACTTCTCATCTTTTGCAATATTAGGGAAGTTTTCTCCCAACAAGTCTTCAACAATTCTCTTTGTATTTTCTGTTATCCACCCCCTGTTCTGGTACTCCAATCACTAGCAGGTTATTTCTCTTGATAGAGTCCCACATAGCTCTTAGAGTTTCTTCATTGTTTTAAATTCTTTTATCTGATTTTTTCCTCAAATACATTCGTGTCAAGTGCTTTATCTTTAATCTCACTGACTTCCATTGCCTCAATTCTGCTCCTATGACTTTCTATTGAGTTGTCTAATTCTGACATTTTATTGTTAATCTTCTGGATTTCTGTTTTCTGTCTCTCTATGGATTCTAGTAGCCTGTTAAATTTGTCATTGTGCTCTTCCATAATCTTCTTAAGTTCCTCTGTTGCTTTGTCTGTGTGTTCCTTGGCTTTTTCTGCATTTTGTCTAATCTCCTTCCTTATCTCTTGAAGAGTTCTGTATATTAATCTTTTTTATTCTACCTCCAGTAATTCCAAGAAAGTCTTTTCCTCCAGAAGATTTCTTGATACTTTGTTTTGGGAGCTTATTGAAACCATCATGATCTGCCTGTTTATGTGATTTGATATTGACTGTTGTCTCCAAACCATCAATAAGTTATTATATTTATTTTATGTTTTCTTACTGTGTCCTAGCTTCTTGTTTTGTTTTGTTTTGTTATGTTCAAATAGGCTGCTCATGTGAGCTAGTTTGATTGTTGGCACCTTTGAAGCTCTAATGTCCTGTCAGCAGGTGGTTAGATCTGTTACTAGGTATGTGAGCCCAGGAGTCAATTTACTTTTCTTGTATGGATTCAGCTCAGGTGTCCATATGGTTGGTTATGAAGTGTGTGGTGCAGGCTCTCACCTACAGTACTAGATGGGCAGGGGTGATTGGAGTAGGCACAGGTCTCTAGCTGCAGTAGGGGGGTCACACACTGAGGAAGGCAGGGAGCTGACAGCTGACCCTGAGTGTCTGAGAGGAAAATGTTTCCCTGTTCCCTAGAGCACATAGGTGAGTGGGTTTTGCAGCCAGATGATGGGTACCCGATGCTGTTGGCTGTAAGGAGTAGGAGTCACCACTTATTCTTGGACCCCTGTCACAAGTGGCTAGGTGACATGGGTGGTGCCACCAGCCCTCAGGCCCCTGATGCGGGTAGGTGAAGACCCTGCTTAATGGGAAGAGCTGCATAAAATGTCACGAACCTGCTACTCCACCATATAGCTGATACAGTGAAGTTAGGCTTCAGGTATATACACTGTTGTACTGTGCTAATGAGGGCCTACACTATTGAAATTGGCTCACACAGGTCTATGCAGGGGTGAAAGGCATTCAAAGTCCATGGACCCCTTATTCCTGTGCCTAGGCCAAGGAGCTGTACCTGCCCTGAGTTCCCAGCTTAGGGGAGCCGGTAGATTATTTTTTCCTCTTTGTTAATTTGTTCCTCTCCAAGGCATGGAGACTGGCTCAGGGCACATGACAGGTCCTACTTCTGGCCCAGGGTATGCAGCAATAGATGAAGCAGGCCCGGGACTCAGTGCAGAGTGGGGAGGGAGCAGGTAAGTGAAATAATCTTCCCAAATGGGGTGTTTGTTGATCCATGTGATGAGTTAGACATATGTACTTCTCTTTTGCTGATTGAACCCTGCTTTTCACTGGCTCTGGAAGCCAGAGCAGACTCTCCACCTCTTGGTCTCTTCCAACATGGAAAACTTGTCCTGAATGTCACTGCCCACCTCACAGCACATGCCAGCCAATCTAGCCCACAGGGCACCAGCTCCTACCATGTCAGGTCTGGCAACTCCTTCCTAATTCTGAACCATCTCTCCCCCTCCTCTGCCACTCAGTCTGATTCCTCAACTTTACCTTTGATGTTCAAGGCCCCTAGATTGTCATATATAATTGATTCACTTGTTTCTTTGGGTCTTTATTGTAAAAGAGACCACCAAAAGCGTCTGACTACTCTGCCATCTTGGCCCTGGCCACACTAGTAATTTTAAAGGACATCATTGAATATAGGAACTAGGTAAATAAGTATTGAAAGGCTTAAAGGCATAAAAAAGCAGGTGAGCAACACTGAGCTGGTACCTACGTGAAGTAGTGACCATGCCAAAGGATAAGAATACAGTGAAAACTTGGCTTATTTGGGTTGGTGATCTCTATGGATAACTATTGGAAGAACACTACAAGAGAGTCAGATGGAAAACCAGAGTAAGGATGGGAAGATTCTACTCTGGTATCACAAAGTACAGTATAAAAAGGTGAGTTTGGAGCAGAGAGAAAAGAGCATATTATCCAGCACATATGCCTAGCTCTATGGTATGGAAGGAGAAGTTATTTGAAGAAGTATTACCAGGAACATTGAGAAAAATCCCATTGCCGGAAGTTCTTTTATATCTTCCCCCTTTTGAGCTCTTATTGCTTTAAGATCTTCAGCATTTGCTCATGAGGAATAAAGGAGCCAAGGCATATTAGTCATTTTTGAACAATGATCTTATTCTGATAAGTAGTGTTCACCAGTAGGTTCACTGGTACCTCCTGGGGTGCTTTGAAAAATCTTCTAGCTCACTACACACCTCAGTCTAAATAAACCGGAATTTCTGGTGGTACAAGTCAGGCATGAGTATTTTTAAAGTTCACCAGATAAATAATTCCAAAATGAAGCCAAGTTTGAAGATTAATAACAAGCATTATTATACCTAAATTGCATAAATAGATGATACATAAAGATATTGTATGGACACTAGGCATGAACTGTGGAAAAGGTGGTAGATAATATTTTTATTTAAAGAAAGTTATGCATTTCACCAGGATGCCTGGGTCATAGATGATAAATACAGAGACTCCATAGGTGTTATAGGACTCAATTTGGGGCATATATTACGATGTACCACAGATTCCAGAATATCCCCCAGTTCACCAAAAAAAAATCCAAATAATCAATATTCCAATATTAAACATAAAGGGGATTGAAAACATTGAGAGCTACAAAAATTATGGGACCAAAGACCATACTTTCCAGCTCCACATGCTTGGTTTTCTGACTATTCTAATCCACAGGCCAAAAAGGATGGCAAAGAATTGACATGCTGGTCAGCTGAGGAGCCTCTGCAGAGCCCTCTTGATATCCCTGTTCCTCAGACTGTAGATGAAGGGGTTCAACATAGGGGTGACCACGGAGTACATCACTGTGGCTGCTGTACCACTCATAGGAGAAAGTGAGACAGCTGAACTCAGGTACACTCCAATACCTGTTCCACAAAATAAGCAAACCACTGACAGGTGAGAAACACAGGTGGAAAAGGCTTTATACTTCCCACCTGATGATGGGATTCTCAGAATGGAGGAAACAATTTGAGCATAAGAGAAAAGGATTGCTGAGACAGGAACACCACCAAAGATGGCACCAATAAAATACACTAGTATGTTTTTGGTGGTGATGTCAGAACAGGCAAGGATGAGGAGTTGAGAAGGGTCACAGAAGAAATGCGGAATTTCCACTTCCATGCAGAAGGTGAGTTGTGACGTCATCAATGACTGCAGCTGGGAGTCCAAAAGGCTGAGGAAAAAAGACAGCAAAACCAACAAGCCACAGAAATGAAGGTTCATGATGACTGGGTAGTGAAGTGGCTGACAGATGGCCACAAACCGGTCATAGGCCATCACCACCAGGAGGAGATTGTCCATACATCCAAAAAAACAAAAAAAAAAATAACTGAATCAGGCAGTTGACATAGGATATAATCCTGTGGTGTGTGTGGATATCCGTAAGCATCTTTGGGATTGTGACAGAGGTGAAACCAATGTCACACAAGGAAAGGTTGGAGAGGAAGAAATACATGGGATTGTGGAGGTGGGGGTCAGAGCTCACAACCAGGATGAAGAGGAGGTTTCCAAACATGGTGAGCAGGTACATGGACAGGAACAGTCCAAAGAGGAGGGGCTGCAGTTCTGGATCCTCTGAGAGGCCCAAGAGTAGAAATTCAGATACACGTGTTAGATTCTGTGGGTCCATGTTGCAGAGACACCTTTGGGAAAGTAAAGAAAGATCAGTAAAGGAAACAAGAACAGAGTCACCCAGCCCTATGTCTATATTTTGAATTCAGGAAATTCACAAGTAAAGCACTCACACTTAAGACATACTCCCCCTTCAGCAACACTTCTCAACTGTGGCAATACTATTCTTCCTAGAACTCTTTCCTCATTGATTTCTGTGCATTCACCCTTTTCTATACAAACTCACTTTAAGCCTCAGTTGAAGAATGTTGAAGAATGTTAGAGGATCAAAGACATTTACAGATAAATTCATAAAGACAGTAAAATAATTAAGTCTAGAAGAAAGACAAGACTTCAACAAACACATAACAAGTGAAGAGATCAAAGCAATATCAAAAACCTCCCAAGACAGAGAAGTCCAGGACCAGATGGCTTCAATGGGGGAATTCCACCAAACATTTACAGAACAAAAGATGCCAATCCTTCTTAAAATTTCCAAAAAATAAAAGAGGAGAGAACTCTTCTTAACTCATTCCTATGAGGCTAGCTTCACCCTGGTGCCTAATCCAGACAAAGACCCCACAGAAAAATAAAACTACAGGCTAATAACAAAAACAAAACAAAACCTGTTTTCCTTGAGTCAATTCTACCCGACAGCGGCCCTAGAGAACAGAGTAGAACTGCCCCATAGGGTTTCCAAGGAGCAGCTGGTGGATTGGAACTGTCAACCTTTTGGTTAGCAGCTGAACTCTTAACCACTGCACCACCAGGGCTCCCCAGACCAATATCTCTGATAAATATAGACACAAAAATCCCCAACAAAATACTAGCAAACTGAATCCATAAGCATATTAAAAGAATTACACATCATGATCAAGTGGGATTTATCCCAGCAATGCAGGGTAGTTTCAGCATTAGAAAATTGGTTAATGTAATATACCACATCAATACAGCAAAAGCAAACAATGACGTAATCATCTCATTTGAGGCAGAAAAAGCTTTTAACAAAATCCAACACCTGCTCTTACCATTGGTAGTCAATATTGTGCTGGAGGTTCTAATTGGAGCAATTAGGCAAGAAAAAGAAAAAAATGGCATCCAAATTAGGAAGGAAGAAGTAAAGTTATCTCCTTTTGCAGCTAACTTTTCTATATATAGAATACAGGCAGTCCCTGTGTTACAAATGAGATCCGTTCCTAAGTGTGTTTTTAAGTCAAATTTGTACGTAAATCGGAACAGGTGCATACGTTTCTTATTTAGCCCTACTTTCGTCCAAGAAAAGACTCCAAACCTTTTCCATAATCTAAAAGCTGCATGTGCAGCAGGTAAAGGTGACTGTGATGAAGAATTGGTTGAGAGTAGGGGTTGGTTCAATTGTTTCAAAGTGAGGGCAAGTTTACATAACAATAAAGGGAAAGTAGGAGTTGTCTGTAAGACAGAAGTTCATAACCCTGGGTCTTTCTGTAACTCAAAGATCCACAATAAAGGAATTCAGTGGCAAGGTGTGAGGTCAACACAGAAAAATCAGTTATGTTTTTATACACCAGGAACAAATAGAAAGGAAATTAAGGAATCAATTCTATTTACAATAGCTTCTAAAAGAATAAAATACCTAGGAATAAATTTAACTATGAAGGTGTAATACTTGTATACTGAAAACTATAAACATGATTGAAAGAAGTTAAAGATCATTCAAATAAACAGAAGGACATTCCATGCTCATGGACCGGAAGACTTAATATTGTCAAGATGTCAATACTACCTAAAGCAATTAATAGATTTAATGCAATACTCATCAAAATTCCAACACCTTTCCTTGAAGAAATGGAAAAGCCAATTCTAAACTTCTTATAGAACTGCAAAGGGCCCAGAATAGCCAAACAATAGGATGTGGAGAAATTGGAATCCTGTACACTGTGGGTGGGAATGCAAAATGGAAAGCAGTTTGATGTTTCCTCAAAAAGGTAAACATAGAACTACCATATGAGCCAGCAATTTTACTAGTAGGTATATATCCAAAAGACTGAAAGCAGCAATGCAAACAGATACATGTCCACCAATGATCATGGCGGGACTATTCACAGCAGCCAGAAGGTGAAATCAACCTAAATATCCACCAGCAGACAAATGGAGAAACAAAATGTGGTGTATGCATGCAGTGGAATATTATTTAGCCATAAAGAGAAATGAAGTCCTGATACATGCTACAACATGAATGAACCTTGAAAACATTATGCTGAGTGAAGGAAGTCAATCATATGATCTCGGTTATATAAATACCTAGAATAGACAAATATATAGAGACCAGAATCAACTTAAAGGCAACGGATTTTTATTTGGATGGTTTTGGTTTTTGGACCAGCAGAGGGAGAGAAAGGGACAGGGGAAATCTTTGATCCAGAAGCATTGACTTTCTTTTCATGGTGAATGAAAATTTGGCAACAGATATTGCCGATGGTTACACAAAATGATTGATTTGATTAGTGTCACGAATTGTACATGGGAAAAATGTTGAATTAGAAAATGTTGTCTCATGCAGAAAAAAATAGAATAAAATACAAAACTGCTCCTTATGAAGGAAGCATGGAATAAAAAATATCCTTCTCCATTTAAGAAAACAAATCAGTCTAATTTAAGGACACTGTTGTTGTTAGGTGCCATCAAATTCATCCCGACTCATACTGACCCTATGTACAACAGAACAAAATGCTGCCCAGTCCTGTGTCATCCTCACAATCCTTGTTATGCTTGAGCCTATTGTTGCAGCCACTGTGTCAATCCATCTCGTTGACAGTCTTCCTCTTTTTTGCTGACCTTCTACTTTACCAAGCATGATGTCCTTCTCCAGGGAGTGATCCTTCCTGATAACATGTCCAAAGTTTGTGAGACCTAGTCTCGACATCTTTGCTCCTAAGGAGTATCTGGTTTTACTTCTTCCAAGACAGATTAGTTCATTCTTTTGGCAGTCCATGGTATATTCAATATTTCTTTGCCAACACCACAATTCAAAGGCATCAGTTCTTCTTTGGTCTTTCTTATTCATCATCCAGCTTTCCCATGCAAATGTGGCAATTGAAAACACTATGACTTGGGTCAGTCACACCTTAGTCTTCAAGGTGACATCTTTGTCTTTAACACTTTAAAGAGGGCTTTTGCAGCAGATTTGTCCAATGCAATACATCTTTTGCTTTCTTGACTGCTGCTTTCATGGGTGTTGAAAATAAAATGAAATGCTTAACAACTTCAATCTTTTCTCTGTTTATCATGATGTTGCTTATTGGTCCAGCTGTGAGAATTTTTGTTTTCTTTATGTTGAGGTGTAATCCATACTGAAAGCTATGGTCTTTGATCTTTGTCAGTAAGTGCTTCAAGTCCCCTTCACTTTCAGCAAGCAAAGTTGTATCACCTGCATAATGCAGGTTGTTAATGAGTCTTCCTCCAATCCTGATGTTCCGTTCTTTATATAGTCCAGCTTCTCCTATTATTTGCTCAGCATACAGGTTGAATAAGTATGGTGAAAAGAAACAACCTTGACACATATCTTTCCTAACTGTAAACCATGCAGTATCCCCTTGTTCTGTTCGAATGATTGCCTCTTGATATATGTACAGGTTCTTCATGAGCACAGTTAAGTGTTCTGGAATTCCCATTCTTCAAAATATTATCTATAGTTTGTTATGATCCACACGGTCAAATGCCTTTGCATAGTCAATAAAACACAGGTAAACATCTTTCTGGTATTATATGCTTTCAGCCAACATTCATCTGACATCTGCAATGATATCCCTGGTTCCATGGCCCCTTCTGATTTTGGCTTGAATTTCTAGCAGTTCCGTGTCGATGTACTGCTGCAACCACTTTTGGATGATCTTCAGCAAAATTTTACTTGGGTGTGATATTAATGATATTGTTTGACACTTTCCACATTTGATTTGATCACCTTTCTTGGGAATAGGCATAAATATGGATCTCTTCCAGTCAGTTGGCCAGGTAGCTATCTTCCAAATTTCTTGGCATAGATAAGTGAGCACGTCAGGTGCTGCATCTGTTTGTTGAAATATCTCAATTGGAATTCCATCAATTCCTGGGGCCTTGATTTTTGCCAATGCCTTCAGTACACCTTGGGCCTCTTCCTTAGGTACAATCAGTTCCTGATCGCATGCTACCTCCCGAAATGGTTGAATGTCAACCAATTCTTTTTGGTATAGTCACTGTGGGTATTCCTTCCATCATCTTTTGATGCTTTCCATGTCGTTTAATATTTTCCCAGTAGAATCTTTCAATATTGCAACTCAAGGCTTGAATTTTTTCTTCAGTTCTTTAAGCTTGAGAAATGTGAAACATGTTCTTCCCTTTTGGTTTTCTATCTTCAGGTCTTTGCACATGTCATTATAATACTTTACTTTGTCTTCTCGAACTGCCCTGTACAGTTTTCTGGTCAGCTCTTTTACTTCATCATTTCTTCCATTTGCTTTAGCTAGTTGACCTTGAAGAGCAAGTTTCAGTGTCTCTTCTGACATCCTTTTTAGGTTTTCTTTCTTTCCTGTCTTTTTAATGACCTCTTGCTTTCCTCATGTGTGATATCCTTGAAGTCATTCTACAACTCCTCTGATCTTTGGTCATTAGTGTTCAATGCATCAAATTTATTCTTGAGGTGGTCTCTAAATTCACCTGGGAAACACTCAAGGTCTTACTTTAGCTCTCATGAACTTGTTCTAGTATTTTTGTTTCAACTTGAATTTGCATATGAGCTATTGATGATATGTTCCACAGTTGGTCCCTGGCCTTGTTCTGACTGATGATATTGAGCTTTTCCATTGTCTCTCTCCACAGACGTAGCCGATATCATTCCTTTGTATTCCATTTTGCAAGGTCCATGTGTATAGTCACTGTTTATGTTGTTTAAACAAGGTATTTGCAATGAAGTCATTGTTCTCACAAAATTCTATCATGCAATCTGCATGGTTATTTCTATCACTAAGACCATATTTTCCAACTAGACGATCCTTCTTTGTTATCAACTTTTGCATTCCAATCACTAGGAATTATGAATGCATCCTGACTGCATGTTTGATCAATTTCAAACTTCAGAAGTTAGTAAAAACCCTCAGTTTCCTCATCTTTGGCCTTAGTGTTTGGTGTGTAAATTTTAATAATAGTTGTATTAACTGGTCTTGCTTGTAGCTATGGATATTATCCTAACACTGAAAGCATTGTATTTCAGGATAGATCTTGAAATGTTTTTCGAAGATGAATGCTACACCATTCCTCAAGTTGTCATTCCTGGCATAGTAGACCATATGATTGTCTGATTCAAAATGGCCAATACCAGTCCATTTCAGTTCACTAATGCCTAGGATATCGATGTTTATGCATTCCATTTCATTTTTGATGATTTCCAATTTTCCTAGATTCATACTTCGTACATTCCACATACCAATTATTAATGGATGTTTGCAGCTATTTCTGCTCATTTTGAGTCATACCACATCATGAGATGTAGGTCCCAAAAACTTGACTCCATTCATGTCATTAAGGTCGACTCTACTTTGAGGAGGCGGCTCTTACCCAGTCATGTTTTGAGTGCCTTCAAACCTGGTTTGAACTTTTTTTAAAGGAGCCCTGGTGGTGCCATGGTAAGCACTCTCCTGGTCACCTAAATGTCCACCTTTTGAACCAGCCACTCTGCAGGAGAAAGATCTGGCAGTCTGCTTCAGTAAATATCACAGCGTTGGAAACACGGTGGGACAGTTCTACTCTTCCTACAGGGTTTCTGAGAGTCAGAATCCACTCAAGGGCACTGGCTTTAGTTTTTTTGTTTGTTTGCTTGTTTGTTAAACAGTTAAACAAATAGTTTTAATCAACTGTAAAATGTATTTTATTTTTCAAAAGGCAATGCAATAAATTCCTTTGATTCAGACTGTTTATAAACACCCTATAAGAGCTGTGTAATAAAACATCTGCCTCCATTTTTTTTGGATGTTTGACTGTTCTTAAACCTCACCCTCTTCCTGCCTTCTGCCTCACCTCTGGGAAAACTGATAAGACAGCCCAGGTGCTCCCCCTTTTGGCCCTGGCAGTAAATTCAAACTGGGCAAGGCCCTGCTGATATGTTAGAACCCTCAGTCCAGATCCACCCCTAACCACAATAAAAATTCCAGTGAGGTACTTCCTTTGCTGTCTTAAGCCACATTTGGACCAGCATGGAAGCCTGCCCTGGTCTCCCTAGGTAGACTCTTTATATGAGTGATAAACCTTTTCATATTCTCTTGGTGTACATGTGAGTGTGGCCTCATTAGTCTCACCATTCGAACCAAATTTGGGGGAGTGAGGGCATCCATTCTAATTTTGCCAAGTGTTCACAACAACTAGAACCACATAAGCTGAACTGTAAATTAAAACCACACTATGTGTCTGTCCATTTGTTGTACTATGGTGGCTTTCATGTAGCTGTGATACTGGAAGCTTTACCACCAGTATTTCAAATACCAGTAGGGTTACCCTTGGTGGACAGTCAACCTTCATGATGTGGATGGAGTCAAGGTTTTGGGACTTTCATTTGTTGATATGGCATGACTCAAAAAGAGAAGAAACAGCTACAAATATCCATTAATAATTGTGGACCAGACCATCAATTACTTCTATGCAAGTTGCAGTTGAAGTTGAAGAAAATTAGAACAAGTTCACGAGAACCAAAGTACTATCTTGAGTATATTTCACTTGAATTTAGAGACTACTTCAAGAATAGATTTAACGCATCGAACAGTAATGATCGAAGATCAGACTAGTTGTGGAATGACATCAAGGACATCATACATGAAGAAAGCAAGAGGTCATAAAAAGACAGGAAACAAAGAAAATACCAAAATGGACATCATAAGGGACTCTGAATGTTGCTCTTGAACATCAAGTATCTAAAGCAAAAGGAAGAAATGATGAAATAAAAGAGCTGAAGAGAAGATTTCAAAGGGTAGATCAAGAAGACTAAGTATTATAATGAAATGTGCAAGGATCTGGAGACAGAAAACCAAAAGGGGAGAACACACTCAATATTTCTCTAACTGGAAAAAAAAATTCAAGCCTCAAGTTACAATATTGAAGGATTCTATGGGGAAAATATTAAACAACACAGGAAGCATCAAAAGAAGATGGAAGGAGTACACAGAGTCACTATACCAAAAAGAATTGATAGACATTCAACCATTTCAAGAGGTAGTATACGATCAAGAACCAATGGTACTGAAAGTAGAGGTCCAAGCTTCACTGAAGGCATTGGTGAAAATTAATGCTCCAGGAATTGACAGAATACCAACTGAGATGTTTCAACAAATAGATGTAACACTGGAGGTGCTCACTTATCTATGCCAAGAAATTTGGAAGACAGCTAACTGGCCAACTGACTGGAAGATATCATATTTCTACCTTTTCCAAAGAAAGGTGATCTTAAAGAATGTGGAAATTATTGAACTATATCATTAATATCACACACAAGAAAGATTATGCTGCAGATCATTCAAAAGTGGTTGTAGCAATACATAGATAGGGAACTGC